AGCATCAGGCTGCTGTTGTTTCATATCGGTTTATATCAATTACAATACTGTTACCAAGATTCAGTAACTTATTATATCAACATTTTGTAAAGTTCTACTCTGAAACTTCATTATCAGCATGAGGCAATTTAACATCAAAGGAAGACATCATATAAGCAATGACTCCAAACAATAATGATAATAATTATAGTTAACCCGCGAGCACACGCAACGGGTATGTCATACCCATGCGCATTTTTCTTTTTGTATATTTCTCACCCTTCTTTCATAAAAGGACGAAACTTTGTGTAGCTGAGTTCAAGGTCACATACTTAAATGGGGGAAATTCCTGAGGTGACATGTGCAACGGTTTTTTAGGAACAGCACTGTTCGGGCATGTCATACCCGCGCGTGTACTCGCGTTTCTCAGTGAATCACTTCACACTTCTCGTTTTGAAGCTTTTAGTATAGGTTTTTCTTGAGTTGTAAGCATGGCGCCGTATATTCCTTACGATGAAGAGATAAAAAGATTGAGAAATCTTCTTGAAACAGTTTTTTCTGATGAGGATTCATTTAGTGAAGACGATGAAGATGTTGATGACGAAGAATATAATAATAATCATGATTCATCCACAGAGAGTAGTGATTCAGATACAGAAACAGAAAATGAAACTTTGCAATGTAACAATGAGTTTTATGTTGGAAAAAAATGGAGTAAAATGGAACAAAAATAAATTCCGGACTAATGTTAGAATTGACGTCAAAAATATTATAACTAAACTCCCTGGAAATATGAAGTATTCTAAAGACGTCTCAACACCTTTACATTCCTGGTCACTGCTTATCGATGAAGATATGTTAAAACATGTAGTCGACAATACAAATATTTATATTGATTCAGTACTTGGAAATTTCACTCATGAATGAGATGCTAATGAGTTTGAAATCAAAGCTTTAATTGGATTGTTGTATTTATGTGGAGTTTATAAATCATCCCATGTGAACGTAAGAGACTTCTCGGCTACAGACGGAATGGGAATGGGCATATTTCGGGAAACAATGTCAGTGAACCAATTCCTCTTTCTTTTACGATGCCTCTGTTTTGATGACATTAGAAATCGTCCCAGTAGAAGAGACGTTGATAAATTAGCTCCGATCAGAGAATTTTTTGGAAGTTTTGCCAAAAGGCTTACACTGTAGGAGAGTATGTGACCATTGATGAGAAGTTTGAATCATTCAAAGGTCGTTGTTCCTTCAAACAATATATGCCCAACAAGCCAACAAAGTATGGCATAAAAATATTTCCTCTTGTAGACGCAAGGGTATTTTATATCTGGAGTGAGTGAGTGAGTGAGCGCCACCAAGGAAGACCACTGACCTGGGCTTAGCCTCACAGTGTGTTATCTTCCTGGCAGAAACCATCTACTCTCTGCTCCATCCTGCTCCGGGAACGCAGCCGAATAGACGGCTAAGAGCCTCATAAAGTCTACATGTAAGCTTGGATGTTGTTTGTACGGGAAAGAGTTTCTGTTAGGAACTACTTAAAATTAAGCAAGAAGCAATCAAAAGACTGTTAAGATCGCTTGTAGATAGACAGAAAATGTGTTAGATAAAGTAAAGATAGGAGGACTCTGCTGAAAATTAACTGCCGTGGATTTTCTGGACTTGCTAAATGTCTACATGCGGGTGCTTATCCCGACACAACTGTCATATTTATGGGGCTTGTGAAATCGTGGTCCTGCATGGAGGAAAGTTGTAACTATTAAATTATTGCACATAGTAAACTTAAAAATAATAATAATGATAAATAAATAAAAAAATAAAAAAGAGAGAGATTAAAAGATGATTAAAAAAAAATCCTCCTAGCGCCCAAACATAATTTAACGCAGTTTACTTTCCATGTGCTGACTCTTATGTAAGAACATTTAAAAGAATGGGTACCTGTTATCACTAAGATAACAAATTCCCTGCATAATTTAGTTCTTTGCGCATACTTAAACTGTAGTTGTTTACCAAATTGAACCATCACCTACATTTCTTTCTTAGTAACTTGCAGACAGGATAATACAACATAAGTACAAAACTGAATATTAAAGTGAAAAACTAACATGATACTGAGTAGAAAATACAGAAAGCTGATCCCTAATGCCTGCATACATCACACTTAAAATGCATACATAATACATGAAAACTAAAAAAAACTGATATAATAATACATAAAAACTGATCATTAAGTACTGCAGTATCTAATCCTAGCCAAGTACGAACTGACCTTCATTACATGCAGAGAAAGAAATAAATACAGATTGAGTACTTTAAGTGAACATAAACAGAAAGTACAGCACCATACTCAGTAAAAATGATATCTGATTCCAAACACTTGAATAAATAATGCTGATACATAATTACAAAGAGAAACTTACCTACATAATTCCATAGTTAGTTTTTATCACCTTAGAACATGCACATAATTTATACAAAACATAATTAAGACGTAATGCTGATCACTGGGAAGAGATTCAAACATACAATTGATCACATAAATACAGATATTTTTCCCTAAAAATTTGCATAAAAAGTTGAATATTTATTAAATTAAGAAGGCAAAAATGCCATACAAATAATAACATCATTCATAAACTTGAGGTGATAACATAAGTTGACCTTGCCCTTCTTATTATAACCTTTTTATCACAAACTGTAATTTAAATATACAATTAGTAAGTGTAGGAAACTCATTGCTGTTGAAGATTTACTGGCAGATCTGGTCTGTGAGTCCGAGACCTGACATTATGCAAAAGTAAACATTATAAAGATAGGGCAGGTTGTTGCCATAGTCCTAATTATCTAAGTTAGCTTGGGTTGAGAGGTTGGTGTGTGCCCAGATGATTTGTGATTTATACATTTTATGATTCAGAGCGCTAAGCACTTGATTATTCTATTGGGGACACTTATCGTCATATTAGAGAATATTTTCTCTGACAATGGCTGATACCGCTTAGCTTTTTTTTATTTGCGTTTGTGTTCTCATTTTGCGCCCATTGGCCAGTAAGCTTGACTTGGCTCTAATGGTACTGTGCCGTGTTTGTGCAGTGAAAGATGTAGTGGTCTGGACCCCCCCCCTCCCATTGACATCTTCTGTGTCACTCAGTGAATCTATGCAGATAGGTCAGGAATGGCCATACCTTATAAAACTGTGTCTGACTACCACTATTGCAGTTTAACACTCTAGCTTGTTTTTGGAAGAAACATACGTTCTCCTTCCTGTATCTGCTGTGTACCTCTGGCTTGCATCTATCTATCAGTTTTAAGGTGCTCTTTTTTGAGATGAGACCTAGGTAATTTATCTGGCAGTTCTGTTCTTGAGACCTCCTTGCCGCTTCTTTGCCAGGGTGTCTTCCTTGCCTTTAATGCCCACGTGAGACGGAACCCAAGAGGCATGGCCTCTGATGGTAGAAGACTGGAGGTTTCTAATTTCTTGGACATACTGCTCTTTGTAACCTTTGATTGCGTCAAGGCTAGAGGCAGAATCTTGTAATAGTAATGGATAAGTTGTTCCCTCAATAATTAATTGCTTCTTAAGTGCTGCCAGCTCAGCTGGAATACTGAGTTCCTGCCAAGTCTTCTTTCCATTTATACACAGCTGTATTACCTTTTGAATGCGAGCACTCCAGTCCCCGCTCAGTTTGAGCCATCTCTAAATAGTGTGGTTATCTTTTGGTGTCACATAGTGGGCCTAGAATACCTTTTTAGATGTGTCAGCCGGATGTCTGCGTCACGGCTGTGTTTTTCAAAGTCTTCAGCAAAGTGGTGTTGTTCCCATAACTCCATCCTCACCTAGCCTTAACACTCTTTGCAATTAAGACTCCCTATCCTGGACTATGGAAATTTATGCTGGAAATAACCCAGATGAGCCATTTCAATTGAAATTGGCAACGAAGTGTCAACGTTTAATAAGGCCCTTATACAACTCTGGTCGAAATTTAACAGTTCATAATTGGTATATGGGATATTAATTATCTCAAGATCTCCCAAAGAAGAAAATTACGATAGTAGATACAATACGTAAAAATAAGAGAGAAATCCCACCTGAGTTTCTGGCAAAAAAAAGAGAAACATATTCTTCAATTTTCGGTTTTCAGAAAGAAGCAACACTTGTATATTATGTGCCGAAAAAAAATAAGAGTGTGATCCTGTTGTCCACAATGCATTCCAACGATCAAATCGATGAATCTACTGGGGAATTCTAAAAAGCCTGAAATCATTACATTCCATAACATGACAAAAGGAGCAGTCGATGTAGATGAGATGGCAGCTGCGTATTCAAGAGTAGCACGTTGATGGCCTATAATAATTTTCTTTTCAGTGTTAAACGTGCCTTACTATCCAAGAAGGAACCACCAACAGAATACCATGCCAGGCATATTTTTCTCAAAGCCTTAGGGATGCAGCTAATAGAAAATGTTCATAATGAACGACGACTAGCATCTTTAGTTCCTGATTCTGGACAAACACTGATCACCGATGAACATATTGACAATGGACCACCCAAAAAAACCTAAAATGACTTACAAGAGATGTACAGAGTGCCCCAAGAAAAAAGACAAATACTAGATTCATTTGTGAAAATTGTAGCAAAAGTATATGTATGGAACTTATGACCTCATTTCGTAAACAATATACAAAAAATTGTAGGTAAATAATTTTTCCTCTCCTTATTGTTTCATATTTTGTTTAAATGAAGTATTAACTTGGTTTACATTTTAATTTCTTTTAAAAACCGATTTAATTTATTCGGAAAATTTTTAATTACAAATTTTTATTCGGGTATGACATACCCGGTGCGTGTTCTCGTGTTCGTCGGATCGGTGCGTGTGCTCGTGGGATAATCTAATAAACTATGCAAAACACACTGGTCACTCATCCTACAAGTTTACATATAAAAGAGTTTTCAGTTCAAAATCATTATTATCAGAATCAAAATGGAAAATGAAATTTTATTCAAATGAAATCATACTAACCTAACATATAAAGAAATAGGTACAACAGTGTTGAGGACTATTGCATATGAAAAAAATACTAGTAGAGCTATTACTGTAGCCCCACTTGTAACATTATTAGTAGGCACTGGTCGATCCCATGGAAGGAAGATTCGAAAGTGTTGGCCCGTAACTGTCTCCCATACACCACAGGCTATTGTACAAAAGAGGCACATACTAAGAAGGAAGAACACTATCTAAAGAAATAAAGAAGTTTCATAAGAAAACAGCCTAAATTTTATTCAAACAGAATGATATTCAATGTTAAAAAAGAACACTTCAAATCAATTTCAGCACGAATGATAAATCTGTTTTTAAATTTAATAATTAATTAAATTAAATAAGCATGAATCAGATACATTCTGGTACAACTGTTGCATATTAACCGAGTCCTGGTGACTGCCCCAAAATGTCAAATGATGTAACAATACTTGTATTAATTAAAATATTGCTTATTTTTAAAATTAAATATATTTGATTATAATAACTGTCTATAGCTAATTCCTGATTAATTAGGGAATAACAAGGATGACTACCCACAGTTAACTCAAAATCGTAATAGGAAAACGGAATAACACATGCTGCAGTTAACATAAACAACTATGAACAATTAATGTATTAAGATAAAATAACACACTGAACAAGTATTAATTCAGAAGGTCAAACAAAAAGTGAAAATTTGCTGATTTTTGTTGTTTGACTTCTAAATTAGTTAATATATTTTTAAGCATTTGGTTATGTAAATTAAACGTTCTTGTAAAGCAGTATTCAGAACACACTTTAAATACGAGAAGAATAAATAATACATGTGAGTAGCAGGAGTGCAACAACTCAACTAACGGCATTGCAGTGAGACGAAGGATGGACGATGGAAGCGAAAGACAACAGTCATGTTTTCGACCAAGACGTAGTAACACATTCGCTGCCACCAAATTTATATATCCATCCTCAGAAGCCGAATTTAAAAAAAGTGTTTAATGATTAAAAAGTTCCTAATTTATAGTAAAGCCAGAGAAAAAAAAAAACCTTTTATTTTCGTGGTTTAGTGTAAAAAATTTCGGACGCTCTAGCGCAGTGGCACCTCACTTAACTTATTATCTGTATGCCAATGACGCTCTGGCGCGTCTCATCTTTTTCTGCGATTATTTACACATATATAAAGTCACAGTTTAAAGAATAAAACGTTTACTTGGATAAAGAGAAGGAAATATGAAAAAATTATAAAATGAACAGTAAACGAATATTATAAATTGTAATGGAAGATTAAAATGTAACAAATATTGTATAATATACATACCAACATAATAGAAAATGAAAAAATTAATTATTACAAACAAAAGGTCAGTGTAGAACAGTACTGCATAAATATATTACTTATGGTATTCACAGCAATTCAGCATATCCTGGTTGTCGGGAAGTCATGGCACTCATCCGTAGTGTCCGGCGTTTGCCTTGGAGGAACAGATGTACACCTTTTTCTTTGTATTTTGGTTTTACCAGGTGCAAGTTCTCTTTTCTTGAGAGTATGTCTGAGATTCTGGGAGTCGGCTTTTGTTCGTCTGTGATGGCAAATGATTTTAAAACGTTCAGTCGTACCGTAAAGTGAATTTTTTTTCCGTAATATTATTATAAAGAGCATGTGAATTCATTAGCATTACTTCAATATATGAAAGAACAATTTTATACAGCGTAGTGATTTTCTCTGAGAGATAATATGACAGCATTTATCTTGCCGATTACCCAGACATAACGCATTATTTTGTGATTGGCAGAGGCTTATGCTTTATTTCATTTCGTTTATTTAAAATGTCAACCTTTCATTTTTGTTCGTAAATATAAGACACTTCACAGATCTTCCCTCCCTTTTTACGATCATTTACCTGACAAGCCTTCAATAGTATGCCTTTTCGCAATTTAGTATTTGAACTTCTTTGGAGTGTTTTTTCGAGTGGTTCTCAAGTGCCTGTGCAGTGGGTCTTTATTAAACAGCCTTGGCAAACAAAGCTATTATAATAATTGTCCATAAACATGGTGACCGACATTTAATTTTTTTTCAGCAAATGCAAAACAATTTTTTGTGTATGGTTTTGCCCTCCATAGTCATCTAATAACCAGTATACATGGCATCTTTTGCACTATTCCACTTGATTGCTAAAATAAAAGTTTTATACGATTATGTCTTTTATTTTTATGTATTGGCGAAACAATAATCAACCTCGCCAGATAACCATAGATTCTCCAAAAAAGTCTCTATTAGGATATAGATCCGCACTTCTTTGTTAAAAAAAACGATAACAGGCGTAGTTATATAACCTGTCTTAGTTGAGGTTCTCAGGTCACTATTTTCGCAAAATGTATTAAAAAACGATTTCGCTATGCTATTGCATGCTGCATAGAAATAATGGCCTTCTTCCAGTAGTCCTGAACCTATTCATTCTACTGTCCCCATTGCAAGAATGCTCCCAAAAAAACTAAAATCATCCACTTTAATCTTTCCAAGCGTTATCTTGACTTTTCTTCGTTTATCGCTATTTGTATTTCTAGCGACGTTTGTTCTTCGACTTTTTTTCCAGAAATACTCGTGAGGAAAAGGCGGAAAATATCCGATAGATATTTCAGTGCTGTAGTAGCAAGGACTCAGATTTTGTAAATGTATGATTACCATCAACTTGAATCTGTTTTCCAGTCACAACCTGTTGATACGGTAATTGTGATCTTCTGTGTCAGAATCCGACATTTCTAAGTATCCCACGTCATCACTATCTCTTCGATTCCTCGTAGAACCCAACCATATCTACTCGTCGATGCTGTCAAAGCAGAAGATCACTCTTTCTAGTAGTCTAATTTCGGCATCAGTCAGTTTTTACTACTTCCTTTTCTTAGCTGTGAGGCTGCAATCCTTGTACGGTCCCCATTTTGAAAAAAACAAAAAAAAAAAAAAAAAAAAAAAAAAAATTAAACAACAAATTAAAACCACGGCGCTGAAAAATAAAAAATGCGTCACTAACGTCCACAAAAACTATCGTCAACCTCCATCGAACTAAAACTAAAGCATTTACTTATCTACTCGATTGTAGCCCCAGAGCGTCACCGGCATGGGAGGTAGCGCCATGCTGACGCGCCAGCGCATCAGTGGCAGCGAATGTGTTAATAGATGGCGAAGCTGTTAACTTCTCAATTATAACTCTTTTTTTATTTGTAAATACTCATCACTGTATCTCCATCAATAAATAAATAAATAAATACTTAGTCACCTTAATGCGTGTCGTCAGCATAGAAATCCCCTAGACGCCAAGTTTACATGGGGGCTCGGCTGGCTCTTCTTTAGTCAAGGTAAGCTGTTCTTTAAGAATCAAAGAATCTTTGAATTAAATTTTGATGAACTGAAACTATATTTTTACCGTTAGAACGTATTGTATTAAAACCAGAACTTTTGCTTTCGAAATCGAAACTCAATTTTCATTTTATTGTATTAACTTGTTTCTCACTTGTGTTCTACGAAATAGTTCAGTTGTGAGTGTGAGTAGCAGAGGCAACAACCAACACAACTAATGGCTTGCGTGAGCAAGCATGGGCGATGGAGCGAAGAGAGCAGTCTTCGGATTAAGACGTAGTATTAGATGGCGACTGTTAACTTCTCAATTATAACTCTTTTTTCATTTGTAAATACTCATCACTGTATCCCCATCAATAACTAAATAAATACTTAGTCACCTAAATGTGTGTCATCAGCTAAGAAATCCCCTAGACGCCAAGTTTACATATATATATATATATATAAACTAAATTGTAAATAACATTAAAGAAAAGTTCTTAGAATAGAACTTGAAGAATGTTATTAAGTTTAAACTAATAACAAAATCAGAACTTAGTTTTTTGGCAGAACTCATCTAGCAGACATATAATCTGTTATTCCAGCTATTATCTTTCACATTCTTCATTGCTTTTTTGGATTTTCTGTAGACAGTTTTGCTTCCCGCTGATGATCTGAGATAGTAATTTTTTCATATTTTTAAAAATGGTATAAGCAATTTTTTCATAATTTCAAAAATGGTCTAGTTAATTGAGAGTTGACTGGATTGAATAAATGTTAACTGAAAATAATAGCAACTAGAAAAAACGCATTATTTAAATGGTTTACGAGAAAAATAAGAATAAGTAAGAGTTTGATTAAGCACATCTACTTAATGCCAACTGTCAAAACATATTGTGAATTTTGTATAGTATGTATTTTGTAACGTGTCACTGCATTTCGAATACTCATTGCCTTCCCTAAATTAAAAAAAATTTTACCATCCCTAAATTTTCTACTCAGGGTATCTCAAATTTTGCAGCCTCTAAATTCTGCCACAAAGTACAGTCATACCAATTTCATTGGCTCTGGCGCTAGCCTGTAATTATGCTGCATAGGGCTCAAATTATTAAAACATTATCGCCAGAACTAAACTATAAAAATATACATGTGAAAAAATCATTTCTGAACTTATGATTTTTAGCAAATGAAATGCAAGTATACCACATTATAGATATAATTTGAAATGCTCACTATGCATGTACAACTATGTGCAACTTTTCCCAGACTTGAAATGATATTCTTCAGAAAATGAAGTAATTAACAGGCTTTTAACAGCTTAGGTATTAATGGTCATAAGTATTTCCAATTCAATAGGTGGGAGGGTTCTTCAAAAACAAAATGTGACTTTTTATTTGGTTCTTGTACAACAGAAATAAATATATATCAAAAATTCTGTTTTTAACTTAACAAAGTACACTAAATATCTTACTTAGTCTCACATACAGAAATATTAAGCTTTATTTTTACAGAACTATTCCAACCACTATGATGACAATGCTTTTATTAAATTGTCTATCTTATGATCTGAAGTACATGTCTAGAATTATATTCAATATATATATTCATACACCTATATTCAACATTTTCATTGCCGATAATGCACAGGCATGAGATATAGTGTTATCATTTAATTTTGTTTTCATATCAATCAGCTTCTGGTGAATTTTCATCTTCTTACCCTGGTAGCGAAAGTGTGAAGGAAATATATGGTTTTAGCTACGTTTTTTTTAAAACACCACTCCACTTCTTATGCTTAAAAAAAGTTTTAAGTCAATGAGAATCAAATAACAACTCAATTTAAAATGCAATTTCACTTTACCCCAATAATAAGTAGATTTAGCAGACGATCCAAACTTGTTCTTTTAAAAATAGTTTTCCCACTGTTCTGCATCAGCTTTGTATCTCGCCCGGCAAATACCACAACACCGTAGCACCATTTGGTGTTTCTCAGCACACATCCTCTCAATAACATCTTATCATTATCCAGCATATAGCTTTTACCTTTCCATCTAAGTGTTCCCTCAAATTTGCTAAGATTATTGTTGGGGGCTTCACACTCAATTTCTCCTAAAAAAAGGTGATAAAAATAATTAAATCAATATATTGAACTACATAAAGTAATATCATTTCTTCACTCATTATACTTATGAAAATATGATGTAAGGAAACATAATGAGAAGCTAATTCCAGTAGAGTTAAGTAACTACAGCTATTCAATTAACTACATTTAATAAATAGATAATTTAAAACAACATATTGTAATATTGCATCTCATATATGAATTTATTCAATCACTTAAAACAATAATAAACTGGTGGCCCATGAAGCCATGTCAATTATGTATTAATAAAGGAGAATTTTTTTATTAAAATGACTATTTTAGGCTAAAAATAACAGTTATATCTTATTCAACTGACCTCATTTTAGAATTAACCACATCTAATGAGAAAAAATGTTAACTATAAAAATAATCAGTTCAATAATCTAAATATGATGGGCTCTGATAAATGAACAACATTCATACCATCAAATGCTCCCATTTGAGCATTATCGTCTCCCAGCTCAGCTGTTTCAATCAATGCTTGACGACACTTTAAATTAGTTTCTCTAGAGAGTAAAAATATAAATAGATATGTTTACCAATTTAACAAATAAATAAAAAAAAAAAAATTGAAATGTGATAAATAGGTATTTGATATTACAGTAAAAACTCGACTGTCCAGAAAGCTTGGGAAATATTGAGTTCTGGATACTTGAGCATATAAAAATAGGAATTAACACTAGAAAAGGCAAATCAATGGGAAAAATTTCAACTCTAAAATTATAAAAACAGTCATCTTATTTACGACCAACTTGAACATCAAAAACCCATACTATTTAAATTATAGAAGATTTTGAAAGAAAAATGCATTTCAGTCATAAAACTAATGAAACAAACTAATGAAAACTACTTAAAATATTCCACTTCATTTATCTTGCATCCTTCTACCCAAAAATTAAATTGGCTTATTGAGAATTAATCTGATTTACATTAAGATGCAGCACATTTCTTATGATTGTAACGTCATGCTACTAGCAATAAATTACACTGTTTGGTGACAATGCATATTTATTAATACTATTACTAGTTCTATAATAGCATTACAAATCTTTCATTCATTAAATTATTTGCAGGAAAAAACTTTCCTAAAATTCTTAATTATTCCAATTACTTGGGCTTTCTGGCTGCTTGAAGTGTGTGTAGTTCGGCTTTTACTGTATTTCAAATTTAAGCTATAAATATCAATAATTATATGAAACTGGTGATAAAAAATCATACATTATGATTTCATTAACAGAACACAGAAAAGCATTCTGCAGGATGATTCAACTGAATAGAATTCAGAGTTAATTAGAATCACACGTATTTATATTTAGAGGAAAGATTTCATAATTTGATTCAATTTGTTAACAGTTTTGCTCTTTTGTAAGCATTAATTTTTTATTAAATCTTGAGCTATTTAGCTTGAAAGTAACAAAGACAACATTAAAAAAACAAGAAAAATTCATGCATCCCTTTTTATAAGATGGATCTATGTTCATTATTCACAAATTGAATGCTAGTGTTTAAAGTTTAGAAATAGTATTTATGTTTGAAACCTGCATATGCCCTTCTTGTTGCAAGGTGATGAAAAGAAGAAGTTTTGGCAGAAGAAACGTGTCTATTCAAACATCTCTCTCCTAATTTTTGGTTCAGTTCCTACATAAGCTAGATCACAAATACAGTACAAAGTATTTAATCTGGACGTCCATAATACAAAATGATCTATAATCCAAACCTCAAAGCTACAAACTTTCTGCGTATGCATAGCGTTTATAAATAAGCAAAACTACACATTCAACCAAGTAGTTCAAGTAGCAACTAATACAGGCAGAAAATGAATAAAAGTAAAAATTATTTTCAATAAAAAACTGTAATACAAGTACACTTTAATCCGGACGTCCATAATCCGGAATGATCTATAATCCGGACCTCAAAGCTACAAACATTCTGTGCATGCATAGCGTTTATGCATGCGCGTTTAATGTACAACAGAAGGTATAAACTAGGCTAAAATTATCTAATTATCTATTTCAGTTAATGTTGCAGATTGCGTTGTTCCTTAATCTTCTAATTGGATTCGGCTTATTATTTTTTGCAGATTGTTAGAGCAATTTTATAAAAAGTAAGCTTGAACTTTGGATTATGTCAAAAAGAGTTTCCATTTCTGGAGCTGCCAAAGGATCTACAAAGCGAAAACATGTTTCAATGTCCATCAAGCAAAAAGTGGAATTGCTGCAAAAAATGGATAAACACATGAAGAAAGTGACAGAGAGGTTAGTGAAAACGAAAAAATTTCGATTGACAAGTTAGTCAGTATTCTCGCACAACAATTACAAGACTTGAATAGCTGAACTTTGTAACTAAACAAGAAATTATGTCTGTTCATAGAATTAAAGAGAAAGTATTAGCACATAAAAAATGAAGCAACTTAAACAACTTACATTGAAAGAAATGTTTAATAAAGTAAGCAAATAAATATTATGCTTTTTTTTTTTTTTTTTTTTGTAAATTTTGATACCCTTTAGATTATAAATGCTCTTTATTTCATAAATTATGGTTTCATATTTTTAATTTTATAATTTCTGCATGCATCTTACCAGATTTAAATTCATGATCTATAATCCGGAAAAACCCCTAATCCGGAATCAGCGAAGTTCCGACGAGTACGGATTAAAGACTTTGTACTGCATTAAAACTTACTATGACTGGTACTAGAATTCCAAAGCAAAGACCTTAAAATTTGAATGTCTAATTAACCATTCTGATAGTCATGAATAAGCATTGAACACAAATGCTACAATGCTTAGACTTGTTTATACCAAAGAAATTGAAGTCACATTAGTAATTTCTATCTTAAAAGTACACAATGGAATTCCACTTGCAAAATGGAATATCTAATGTATATGTTACTGGTACAGTTTTAAAACCAGCATTCTATAGAATGCCTAAAACTAGCTGGCAATGTATGAAACGATTCATATTTCACACATTTCCTAGGCATTCTATATAGAATGCCAAATAACAGACAGGCAAAGTATGAAATAAATTTCCGATTCATTTCGAAGAACCGAAACTACTTACCAGAAGTTAATAAATGATGTAAAAAAGACAAAATGAGTAATAAAAAGGGACCACGGGACTACTGGCTGCTGAATCGCTAGGATGCGATATTTGTGGAAAACAAAAGTATATTAATTTATTCTGTTAAAGAAAGCATCAGTACTATACAGTATTACATCACCGGATGCTGGACTATTTCTGTACTTCATGAAAACTCATTTGAGTACTGGACAGGGATGACGTGACAGAATGTTGAGAGAATTTTCAACCAAATAGTAAAACATTACACGTAATGGTATTGAACTGTACAATCACCTTTGTGAGCCCTGCCAGAAAAAACAAAAAGATATTAAAAGGGCATTGTTGTGAAACTTATGACTTTCTGTTGTCAGGTAGATCTTACTGATTTCCGGTCTCAGCCAAATAGAAAATACAAATTTATTATGTTGTATCAAGATCAACTCACTATATTTTACATATTTCAAATAACAGTTTTTTAATGGCACTCTTTCATTAATTTTTCAAAATTTTTCATTAATTTTTTTCATTTTTTGGGGAATGAATGTCTTTTAAATAATAGCCTTGTTGTAACATTGTTTTCATACTTTGTCTAAAAAGCATTTGTCATTCTATAGAATGCCTAGGTAGTGTATACAATGCCTGGGGAAAAGTATGTAATAATTCTCATATTTCATACTTTGCCGGTAACATATATAACACGGCTGACTTGGAAAAAATATTGTTCTCATTACATGAGTAATAAGTAATAAACTGCAGAAATTGCCAACTTTACTAAACCTATAACACAGATACTGTGTACTTTCTACATAAAAAGACAGAATTAATTGTATATCTCATCACTATTCGTTCCCTATTTCAACAATTATTTAGATATTAAAACAGTGCCAAAAATGAGAAACTTTAATATAACTTCATTGAAGTAATGAAACAGATTTAGGTTAGGTTATTTAATTACATCAAAGCCTCGATGGCTATCTGCCTAAGAGGAGGGATGCTTTCATGAAGGACTTTCTAAGGAAAACTGGCTCATATACACGTTGCATATGGGGAAAACCACGAAAACACCCATGCAGCCAGCCCGTTCGCGGGATTCGAACCTCGGACCGAACTACCAGGACCGAGCTACTAGTGGCCGAGCGACTTTACCACTCGGCTGCTGGTGGGCCTCTGAAACAGATTTAGAAGATGGCATTTTCATCACTAACATTTATACTCTGATAGAAATTTGATCATCTTACAGTAATTCAGGGAAAAAAAAGGGAGGAACTAGACAAAGTAGTCATGTGAAATCATTGATATTAACTAAACTGAACTGGTCCCATTTACAAGTACCAGTGGGAATGAATTTACAAGTGAAAAATATGTCCATTTTTTAGCAAATCAACTTTTTTATGACACACTAGTAAATCATATGTCTGCTAAAATGAATAACTAAGCAATAAAAAACATGTATTAATTGAAGGAAAAATGCCAATTATGCACTAATTATAAAACGGATTTTCTTGTAACTAAGAGTTTAAATACTCATATTATCACAGCCTTTGCAAGAACCAGCACAAATGTGTTCACACTAGGTGGTACAATTTAAGAGTAGTAAAATTTTTTTGAATTCAAGAAAGCAAAAAGAGCAGAAAAATGCAGATGCTGCACCACATAAAAACTAGCAGTGGCCCTGCACATTTAACCCTTTGCGACACAGTGTGTCTAGTCTGGACACACTGTGCCGCAAAGAATTAAACAAAATTAAACACTAAGATTAAAAAAATTTAAACACAAAGAATTAAACACTAAAAATTTCCTTCTGTATGCACAGAAAAATTGAATGAAAAGGATTTATAGGTTACTCTGAACCTTCTTTATTTATAGTAGATGGCAGCTGAACACAAACCAGTTCATATATTTTAGCCACGTTTAGTTTTTTAAGACCCTCATTTTTCAAAGAAATCTTCTAGAATTTTTTAGGGTATAAAAAGGATGTGTTTGAAAAGAAATTTCTCTGTTATTTTTTGGCTGTAAGTTAATCTCCTTATTCTATATTAGTTTTAAATTTTTACCTTGAAATCTTGCTTAAAATCAAACAGCGAACCCTAGGTGTGCTCAGACGGGGCTCAATGATAATCTAAGACAACTGAGAGTCTGTATTCTTTGTTTCTCCGCATCTCATTGGTCAGTTTATTGACAACAATGCTCATTTCAGCACTCTTTTCGAAGCTCTATTGAATCAGTGCGCCACTTTGGGCACACCCACGGAATTAAAACGATGAGTGCTATCTTCACAAAATTTTACTTGTGTACTCCTCTAGGCCTAATTAGACTGCCTACCTTTTTTTTTTTTTTTTAATCAAAACTCCAACTTTAAAAGGTAGCGTGCTGGAAAGGGTTAAGTATTCTATTAATATGTTTGTTAAAAATTCACTTTAAAGTGATACATGGGGAAGAAATTACAAAAGAACTTTCAATAAATATATTCCATAATGATTTGCACAGTTTACACTAATTGCATATTGAGCCAGATTTTTTAATATTTATTCTTTAATTAGATCACAGTGTGAATAACATTTATAAAAGGTTCAGATTATGGCAATTAAAAATTATGGTAAAAATACATGAAATGTACCACCTATCTAATGAGTTACTAATTCACATTTTACAGTGTCAGTGAAAATTAAAACAATTCAAAAAAGCATTTGGGAATGGAGAAAATGAGGCACTTCCAATTAGATGGGTCCAAACAATAGTCTAAATAGCCAGATAATGGTATTTTGAAGCAAAAATATGAAATATAAGTGAACAAAAACATCATGCAGAACGTTAATTTGCAACCATTTATTCAGTACGAGTTTTGCTCATTTTATGTTAGCAAAATATTCGTTTTAAGTCAACAGCTGTTCATAGGGTTTACAACACTTCATGCATGACTTAACCCCTTTTTTCCATATTTTTCTATTGTTATCAACAAAAACTAATTTACTAAGCACAGAAAGTTTCCAAAAATGCACAGAGAATTTAGTGAAGTTTTGAAAATCATCTTTTTATTATAGGAAGATGCTTAATACTGCAGATCACACTGTGCAAATGATACCAGTTTCATGTGATAATCAATGCATAGCTTGCTTATGGATTAAATGAAAAGAAGAGACTAAGTAGAGTGAAGAAATGTTCAAAACAACTCCTTTTACAAGTTATATATATTGAATTAATAAAAGTATCAGACTAACAGTTGTAAAAAAAACTGCAGTTTGCTCACAAAAAGAGAATCCACTACAATTGTGTGTTTTAACATAAACATATTAGTCATTAATAAAGAACCACAAAGCCAGGCATAAATTATTCGATAACTTTACTTCAAAGTGTAGATAATGAATTTGTTGAAACACTAAGAAAGCAGTTTCAATAAAGCAATGAAATTATTCATATCAATTAGAATATAATAAATTTTATCAATACATAAACAGTATAGAATAAAAAGTAAATGATTCTGCTCCTTCAGAAACTTAAATTAATCAAAAAAATGACAAATTGATATTTCAACAAAATCTATAATTGACAATATTTAACAATGCAATACTATTTTGGCAACTTATCAGAGTTTCAAAGTTTGCCACTATTTTCAGAAAACTTTGATGATCAATAACTTTACATTTAATTATTTTTCTCTAGATCATCTATTAGCATTTAATTTTGATATTGCTCTTTTTAAATGTAGTTCCATTAGTTGAATTTTCCCCCTAAATCTGCAGTCAAGTTTGGCAGACTTTCCTTGTAGAATAACCTTCAAAGATACTACATAAAAGACACATGGAAATGTATAACTTACCCATCTAATTCAGCAGTTTCTATATAACAAAGGCCATTTGGTTCACTAGAGGAGAGCAACAAAAGATCTGCCTGCAAAACAGATGCACGAAGTTTAACTTAAATGTTAGAAATGTGCAGCTTTCCAAAACTAGCATTCATGCTAAAATTAAACTTACAGCAACAAACTGATCATTTTCCATTCGAATGATGTCTCCAACTTGTACTTTGTGCCATCGTTCATCGATCAGCTTTCCTCCTCGAAGCACTCTAGACAGCCTGTTGTTTACTTGACTGTCACTTCTATGTCTTTGCTAAAACATTAGGAAATTAGTTAGAGAGCAATGGAAAGAAAATGATAAAAGTGTTAATAGATAAAAATACTAAATAAAAGCAACTACAGATATATGAGTATAATATATAAATAAAATGAAAAATTTATAAAATTATCTTGAAGGTGAAATAAAAAAAATAAATAAAACGGAAATATAATATCAAAGCTCGTTATTTCTAAAGCTTAATATTATTTTCAACACTGGTAACAAGGATTTGGTAGTTTACCAATTGTATAGGAAGATTTGAAACTTTTGTGTAAACTACCACGAGTGATAGATTGCACAGATTGTTTTTATTAGTTAATCCACATATACAGACCTCAATCTCTGATGTTAAGGGCATTTTGAAATAGTATTAGGAACACTGGATAAAAAGAGAGAGAGAGAGAAGGGAGAAAATCCAAGAACTTTCAGATTTTATATTATGCCCAATGTCCTTTTTTTTTCCCATGTACACATACATACATATTTCGAGAGTATTTGGGCTATAAATATTTAAAAATAACATATCTTTAGAATTTAAGTTAAACAGTTTAGCATGCTGGAAATAAAACTTTTTCCCCCCGTACAGTGTTGCCATTGCATGCCTTGAAATCATAGAGTTTGTTAGTCAAAAAGTAATTAAGTTTTACAAAATATGAAATAGACAATAAAACAAATTCAAAATTTGGGCTTTCAGGTGCCCGTGTTTGGATGGAGGATTACGTTACTCAAAATTTGATGGTTCTAGGTACTTTTTTTTTTTTTTTTACAGTGCAAGAAACATACATACATTCATGCAGATTCTTCATTATTAAATTTCTTTAAATATAATACAGGGCGATAATATTTGGTAGCAACAATGTGAAAAGTGAAACTGACATTCATAGTGACTGATGTAAAATTCTGTTTCGAGACTATTAGCCCTTCTGGGCTAATGTCCCTTTGGCTTATAAAAAGTATCATCATTCAATAATGCACATGTAAAATAGAGTATTTCATGCAAAAAATTTTTAATTTAAAGTTCAATTTTATAAAATGCTGAGATTGTCAATAAGCACAGAGTATACGGGAATGCAAAAAAAAAAAAAAAAAAAAAAAAAAAAAAAAAAAAAGTGCACCAGCTGCAGAATATAATTTTATGAACAACTTCTAGAAACTGATTTGTTAAATTGTGAAAGATTTACACAGGCATTTCAAAGAAACAAACTTTCTATATAAAAGCATAATTATTCTGAAACTTCAGCAAATAATGTAGTTTATATTTTTTACATTTCATATCTGTACTAACAAGAGTTTCTAGCATTCAAGAGAGTGATTAGGAAAGGATGCATTCATCAATGAAAAAAGGTTTGTTTCAGTACTTCCTATTTTTCATTGAAATGTGCTCAAGAATTTTGAATCTCCTCGTATTAAAGCCAGACAAAGTAACAATGAGAATCTGATTCAATTACAATAAGACCTTACTTACAAAATTTGCTATTCAGGTAATGACTCAGGAGAAAAATTTCCTTAACTTCATGTTTTTACAATTTATTTAAAAAAACTTCAGAAAAATATGAATTCAATGCAAAGAAAAATAATGTATGAATAGGATATAACTTTTAAATTAAAAACAAAACATCCAATAGCATAAAAATTTCAAAAGGTTATAAAGTTTATAATTTTCACTAACAGCTGACAAATTTTCCAAATCTGAAATTAATAATATACTTTTTCTGATAAATTAAGGAAAAAGGAAATGAAACTTATTTCTCATGTAAACTCTGACATAGTAAAATTTAAGATAATAATGCTCAAGCACACAGTATAAGTAAGATAGTATAACTTGCATCTGAGCTTCCTTTATGCTAAGAAAATTATTTATGCACATGATGTGATGAGGAATGCTTCAAAATAAGGATAAAGTATGCCCTATTTAGCTACTGAATGCATATACTAAACAAGTTTTACTTTGAGACTTATTATTAGCCTTTACAACTATAGTAATAGTCCATTAACTTCTACATTAGAAATATTAAGATAAAATAAATTAGATCCAGAATGAAGACAAATTTCAATAACTAAAGAAACTGCCATTTTCCAGTTAGTAGCACCATCAGAAAAAGATGGCTAAATGTTGTGCCAAATGGTTTGTTTGATAATTTATGTTTTTACATTTTCTACTGCTATGAATTATTTGCTATTTTTATGAGAGTAAAATATTATATAAATTTTAAAAATGCATTTATTTTAATCATATTTGATATCTGTACTTAATCGTAAAACAGTTGCATCTCAATGTCTGTTGTATTTATTAAATTTACAACCTTTCATATTCAAATACGTAAATGCTATGCTTCATCTATTCAAGTACTCAAAACATATTTTCAGTCAAAATATATTACTATATTATTAATACTAGACCAAACTACTATATTATTTTCACATTTTATGGCCGTAAATGCATATATTAAAGTGCTTATTTATCCGCTGGAATCGGCCAGTTACTGATTTAAATGTGAAATAGTAAGAGTGCTAGTTACACAATCATTAAAACAACTTCCGAGATTTTTCCTAGCAGCTAGATTTTGTGGACATTTCACGATTTGCAATAAATTCTTCGTCCAAAGGTGCTAGTAATGGAAAGTTATCCAGAAAAAAAGCATTTAAAAGAAAAAAACTCACGATGTCATCAATAGCATCCTTGAGGGCAGTGATTAACAGCACAACAATCAAAGGCACAGCAGTTGTAATAGGAGTTAAGGACGATATTTGGGGAATAAGCTAAAAAGATGAAAATCAACATATTACAAAAAAAATTAGAACCATCTTTTAAAATAAAAGAACATAAAATGAAAAAATATTCTCTCCATTCGATTAACACAACAATTGTTTTCTCACACATAGTCAGTGCATAACTGGAACATCTATTAATGACATGAATGATTTAAATGCTCAAAACAATTAGAAACTTAAGATATAAAATTTGTTAAAAAGGATGCATATTGTTTTCAAATCGCCTAGTTTGTTACATATGGATGCTATCAGCCGGCAATACACTACCAAAGACCTCATCTACAACTTTGCTTTTTTAGTCTAACTAAACAAATTTAGAATTTCACATATGATTACCTTTCTATAAACGTTTCTGTACCCACAGAATTTGTTGTGTGTGGTTAATATTGGCAATGTAATGCTGGGCCAAGTATAATATGTAAATACTGAAACTTCAATGCACTTTAATAATTTTTGGATTACTTGAATATATCAAAGAATATCAGAGCTATTCCATTTAAAAGGAGGAATGTGTAGAAGATTTTCTAAAGGAAACTGGCTCATGGCCTATGGTACATATGGAAAATCATGAAAAAGAGCCATGCAGCCAGCTTTTAGACTTGGCTCAAACTACCAGTATTCAGTGGTCTTAATTGGTAAGGCTACTTTTATAATTTGAAAGATAAAAGTCTGTTGCAAGCTTAACACCAGCTCTCAGAGCCAGAAATCTGCTTAGCTATGTGAATGATTAATGCTATGGTACCCTAATGTGGCTCAATATGAATAACAGATTGCTCTATAGATCAGCATTTCTCAATCTTTGATGATTAGCTTATTCATTATCATTTCTTGCAGAACTTCTAGAGATTTCTTAAGAAACACTAGAGCTCAAAGGAAACTCAGCATAGAAGTGCTGGTGCAGAGTGCAGATACTTCTAGCAGCCTTGATCAATATAGTAGTAGTTAGTGATGCTGTCTGCCATGTCATTGGGACTCGGTTCAGAAGGTATGCATGATTGTTAATACCTGTGCAACATGGAGGCTCTTAAAATATTGGCAAGGCAAAATCCTCTTAAATAATCTGGCATAAGGAACCTCGGATTTATCCCTCAGGCTGTTCTCCATTGAAACTGGAGCAGAGTTGCATAGTTAGTGGTGTGGAATTATACCTGTAAATCAGTGACAAAATTCTGGTGTCCTGCCTATTTCTACCTCTACATGTAGATGCTTCTAATACAGATATGGTCATATTACTGAATGGCGTTCATAGAACATATTATTATAATTAAACATTTTTATATTGTTAAAAATGTTTGGTCACTTTCAAAGATGGTTGTTTCTGACAAGTGGTTATTTTTAAAAGAATTAAACGTACTTTTTATCTAATCAGCTCAATTAAAAACATAATTCTCAAATTAAAAATACAGTTTAAAGCAATAAGATTATTAATTAAATGTCAGCCTTTTGAAAAGTGATTTTATTGGTATTCATTAACTTACTTAAGCTGGCTGTAGAACCGCAAAATTTACTTGCTCTTAAGTCGGCTATGGTACAACTGCTGTACCAAGCTTTCCATTCCCCCTTTTAGAATAATTGCCTATCTTTAGATTCTCTGGGTGGTCTAGTTTTCTCTTCAGAACAGCCTCTGGTTATATAATGTTTCCCACTCCTTATCTCTTTGGCTAGGTTTTGGCGAAGACCGTAGGTTTCGTCTCGGGCCAATGTGCTTAAGAAAAAAACAGATGCTATCTCTCTTTCAATCACTAGATCTTTTTCTTGTGATTTCTGTGTAACTCGCGCTCTTAATCACTTCTTATAATGGCACCTCGTTTCAAAGGTCTCAGTTAGGACGAAATTAATAAGTTGCTAAGAGATTTAGAAGAAGAAACTTTTGCTAAACAGATTTGGACTGTTCAGATACAGAAGAAATATGTTTTAATCAATCTTTTAATGAAGATAAAGTTGCCGATAACTTCAAAAGAAACACTAATAATTTATTTGAATGGAGACAGCCAAGTGAGCATGACAAAGCAAACATATTGATCTTTACTGGTAAACCTGTCATAAAAACTGAATTTTCGGGAATTCATCTTGCTGTTGATTTTTTTAAGTTATACTTTTCAGATGAATTGTTTAAAATGTTAACCATAGAAACTAATCGGTATGCTTCTCAAATCTTAGAGTTGTGACCAGATATAAGCGGAAAAAGAAAACATAAAACCGACTGGACGCCAATTACATCTGATGAGCTTCAGAAATTTTTTGGATTAGTCTTACTCATGGGACATGTTGAAAAGGACAGCATTCGAGATTATTGGTCCATGGATGATTTAATTGACACACCAATTTTTAATAGGATTCCCCCTATGTGTACCGTGATTATAAACCGCTTTCTCTCCAAATGTCCTCGACTAAAGGTTACATTAATTAATTCAGAAAAGCAACTCGAGGGCTATATCTCTATGGGTAGAAATGTTATCGTGGAAGACTTTCTAAGGGAAACTCTCTCGCATTCAAATTGTACATTAAGAAAGCCACGAAATCTCTCATGTTCGTCTGGATTTTAATCCAGGTTGAACTACCAGTGTTTAGTGATTACTGCTCTTTCATCTGGTGGATTCCTCCAAGAAGGCATTCATATTTTGAGGCAACTTATAAGATATTTTCTCCCTCCTTTCTGCATGCCTTCGTGGTGTAACAGTTAGCAGACTTAAAAAGTATTTCAAGAGATCCAGATTCCTGTCCCAATGAAAGCATTGCACATTTTTTCATGTCTTCTGCTTCAAAAAATAACCTAATGACTAGTGGTGCACGAACTAAAAGGTGATGGATGGTGATTCCTCACCACCGCGATTTAGCTATTGCGTCTCCTAATCCCTTATCGCCCTTTAAAAGGGCAAGTATATAAGGTATATTCTCCCTCCTTCCAGCATGCCTTCGCGGTGTAATGGTTAGCACACTCGGCGCATATTTCGAGAGGTCCGGGTTCGAGTCCTGAGGAGGGCATTGCTCATTTTTCACGTCTCCAGTATCAAAATAACCTAATGACTCTAAAAAATAATCTTAGCTTGCTTTGTCAACCTCGAGTAAACTATAAGCATTTCTTTGTTATAATAAACTCCATAAAATAAAAAGGTTTTTCACTTGGCTAATAACATTTGCTAAAGATGCATATATTTTTATATTATGTTTCAAATTTCAGCGATCTTGCACTCTGTTCGAGATTTAACGTTTCCTTTTACAAAGTAGGCAAAACTACTTTTTTAGGGCCTGCTTGCACTTGAGGCTTAAATCTAATAAGATGTTACTTTGGCCTTTCTTGCTGCTGAGGTCATAAAACTGTTCGGTAATGTTAACTCCGTGCGAACTTCTACTATTATGCATGCAACTTTCTCTCATTTATCCTTTTGTGATTTTCATTCATTCTTAAGTAAATAAAATGGTAAAATCCACATGTAACCAACCTGTTCTCTGGGATTTGATTGGCCTAATTTTTTTCGTTCACTAGATTACACCGAAGCACTCGACAGCTATCTGTATAAGGGAAGGGATGCCTTCATCAAGGACTTGCTCAGTAAAGCTGGCTTATACCGACGTTACGACAAAAAGCATGAAAGCGCCCATAAAGCCTGTGATTCAAACCCGAGAAAACTACCAGTGTTCGGCCACTTTAGCGCTCTCCGCTGGTGGGCCCGTAAAAAATAGACTAAGAAAAATGATTGAACTAACTGATTTAATTTTCTAACCTATGTTTATCATTCGGCAATACATAAATTAAAAATTTTAGGTGATTGTGAATAAACTATATTGCAGTTTTCTACAATGTTTCATATTACAGTTTTAAATGGATTTTTCAATGTTTCATTTTACAATTTTACATGGAATTGCAGCACTATGGAATTATTTCTCATGCATTTATTTCGCTCCGTTCATCATTCTGATTACTTATTCTGCCAAAGAGAAGATTTCGCACTTTAACAAAAAGACACATAAGAGGATACTTTCTGAAAAATTTGTTGGAAACAATTTTCTTAATTTTGCTTTGAAAATATTCCTGGGTAATCGTTTTGATCACTGAAAGAAATATGAGAAACATATTTCCTACACTTTAAATGTCAATACCCTGTATGCCCTTATTCTTTTGAAAGTATGAGAGATTAATCTTTTTAAAATAAATTAGAAAATTTATCGTGTTTATTTATTTTGTATTCATTATTTTATTATGTATATGTATATCCATTTCATTTAAAATCAAGGAAAAATCAAGCTTTGGATATAAAAATGGTTTTGAACGAAATCTGCCTACTAAAGAAAATTGACGTAGAATTCTTTATAGACATTTAAAACTGTTCTGAAAAATATTTTTGATAAATTTATATTTTCTAAAATTTTAAATCATACATTAAAATTCTACTCAACAAATATTAAAAAAAGAAGCATAAAAGTGCTTTCTCTCTCTCTTTCTACGGATACCACGAAAATGCAAAGATTTAAGAAATTATCTCATCAGATTTTACTTCACATTGCAGCTATAAAATGGATTGCATATATGGGTATTCGGAGAAATTTTTAACTGTTAACATAAACAAAATCCACTTTTATAAAGAAAAATTCTCTCTACAGATATAACTCCTTTGCCCGATAGTCTGAAGTAATATTTGTTAAAATTATATAATCAAACGCAACTAATATATCTCAGATTTTCTTTTTTATATTACAATAATGTGATTATGAAAAAAGTTTGAAAGCTTTATTATTGGTATAAGTTCATCTCAAAATCTAATACTAGTAATGAATCGTATTCTAAACATCTAACAGTAATGAATATTATTAATGAATTCATTATTATTATTTCATTAAATTATTCATTACTGTTATTTTATTAATGAAAATAAATTATCAATATTGCATTCGACCTGCAGGCATACAAAGCTAGTTCATATTTGTTATATTTTGTCATGATCTGTTCTCTTTTCCTAATTTCTAGTAAAAACAAAGAATTCACAAAT